ACCCGGGCACCCTCGGGCACGCGCAACCACCCGGGCACCCGGGCTCCCGGGCCCCCGGGCCCCCCCGGGGTCCTCGGGCGTGCAGCGAAAATCGGCGACAAACTTAGCCTAACCATATGAATCCGCCAGGACACCATATGAAGCCTAACCATATGAAGCCTCTGTATACTGAGGCAAGCTCTGATTGGGGAAAATGAAAACCCTGGGCCCACGTCCTTTCCGAGAAAAACCGATGGACGAGCATTTGTATGGTTTCTCGGGCCTCCGCGGATTCCACACGGGCGTCACAGCGGCACAACTTGTCTTCAAAACGGCCCAAGACAATTCCAGGACGGCCCAAGATGGACCCAAGAGAGCCCAGGAAGCCTCGAAGACGGCCCCAGAGGGCCCCAAGGAGGCTCCCAAGAGCGCCCCCAGAAGCCAAAATCATGGATTTCCCAATGGTGCTGGCTATTTTTGTGTGTTTCTGTTTCGGCCCACGCGGGCTCATGACGGACCATGCAGCATCCAAAATGGCGCCAAGACAGCCCAAGAGGCCTCAGGGCCCCCAGACGGCCTAAGAGGGTTCCAAGATGGCCCCATCAATCCCCCAAAACGGTCCAAGAGGCCCCCGAGACGACCCAAGAGGGCCCGAAGAGAGCTCCGAAACGGCCCCGACAAGCAGCCAAGACGGCCTCCGAAAGGGGCCCAGACGGCCCCAGACAACCCGAAAAAAGCTCCAGGCGTTCTTCAGACGCCCCAAAGAGTCCCCAAGAACCCCCGACGAGTGCCCGATATGCTCCCAACGGGCCCCTGAGAAGGCTCCAAACGCCTCCCACAAGATTCCCTTATGTTCGGGGATTTTCTGACCCGGGTCGATCCAGACTCGGGACAGTCAAGACTTGCAGAATTTTGCGAGATCCTGCAATATCCTGCGCCCAAACCCGGTTCAATGCGAATGACCCTGCAAAATCCTGTAGGATCCTGCACCCAAGCCCGGGTCAGTGCGACCCTGGCCCTTCAGGATCCTGTAAAGATCGGGCGCTCTGGCTGACCACCGTTTGCACTGACCCTGGTCTCTTGAGCTCCGATATGTCCGTGCCCTGCGCGTTCTGGTCGCGGGGCGCTCATACGCTCCAAAGAGGCGCCCCTTGGGCCCCTGGACGGCGCAGCGCGGCCAGAGCGAGGCCTCCGAGGCCCCCACGAAGATCTCGAGAGGCCCGCGCGCGGGCCCCCCCGAGGATCCAGACGGCGCAGGAGCGCCCCAAGATGGCCCAAAACGCCCCCAGGAGGCTCGTTGGCGTCGCCACAAAGACTTTACTTGCCTTCGGTCGGGCATGTCCTCCTACAGGCGGATCTTGGACGAACAATACAGAATACCCCGATTTTTTTTATATATAAACAACGGCCCCGGAGCACTTGTTTTAAAAACTATGTTTGGATACTCGCCCTGTAGAGGGACACGTCCGACTCAAGACTTGACTGGGCGTGCGCCAAAAACCCGAGACGCCCGTGCTCTCCGCGGTCCAGACATGCACCCCGCAGGGCGAGGACGGATCTGGAGGCCATGTGCACACGTGGAGGGTCACCGTGCCCGGCCGCGAGAGGACCGAGCGCGGGAACGACCAGTGGCTCCGCGTGTGCACCAAGCCCTCGCGCAGGTTCGGTCGTTTAGGGGGCCACATGCGAACCCTACCCCTACCCCCCCCCACACGATTTCTGAGGGGGAGGGTGGGGTTCACTTCGCTCGAAGTGAACCTCCCCCCCCTTCAGAAATCGTGGGGGGTAGGGGTAGGGTTCGCATGTGGCCCCCGATCGTTGGGGTGGCCCAGAAGGGGGTCCAGCTGAAAGGGGGTGGTGCAACAAATCTGGGGCAATTGTATTGCAAATGTGCTGCGCCGGAGAATTGGATTGCAGTGTGTTGGAACGAATGCACTGCACGCGAAAATCCGGCAATACGTTTGCGCCCCGGAATGTATTGCACGCCCCAAATGTATTGCAACTCCACAACTCTACTGCACCAAATGTATTGCACCACCCCCTTGTCGCTGGACCCCCTTTTGGGTCAACCCGAGTTTGGGGTCTGCCACGCATCTGGCTCTTGCAGCTGGTTCCGCGTCCCCTGAAAACCAAGAGGCCGGCTTTCGCCGAAGTGGGGCGCGTTCTGATACTCGCGGCAATGACGGGCGTTATTGGGGGGCGGGGGGGGAATGGGAATGGGAATGGGACGCTCGTGCGGGCAATCGCCCGGGCCCCTTAAGGGCGGAGCGGGTGAGGCCGTGGCCTCGCAGACATGGCCGGCTAGCTGGAAGCTTACTCAGGCGGCCGGCGCCACAGAAGTATCAGGAGTGGAACACGTGACAAATTGCGCCTCCAGTTTGGTCCAAGTTGAATCGTCGGTGGCCAGTTTAAGCCAATCGATGTTGTTCACGTCGTAGCTGCTCCGGGCGGGTCTCTCTTGCACACCGTGGGATACGAGAAAATCACGCACGTCGTCATCCCATCGCTTCTGCTGTCCTCCCGAGTTCCTGTTGCCGTTTTCAGAAGCATGGAGGCTCGGGTGCCAGTTGACCACGCATTGAAGCCATTCTCGAAGGGACTGCTTCGCCACTCTCGCGGCACATCTCCACACCGATCGCCGTTGCCTCGCATTCCAATCGATCACTCTGTGCTTGTGCATGAGGCTTTCTGCTTGTCTTGTCGTGCGCTTGATGTATTCGACCCACGACTCCAAGACAATGCTCTCCAGTGCGACGTTCTCCTCGTTGTCGGTGCTGGGGATGTTAGCCGTGCTGGTATCTGCGTTTGGGTGGGTAGATGACGGTCGGTTGCGTTTTGCTTCTCCGTGCGTGTCGTCTTCGTGGGTTTGCGGTTCTGTCGTCGCTTGAGTCGCGCGTGTGACTCCAGCAACACAGCGCCTGTACGCATCACAGCAAGCACCACAATGCGCAGCGCAGTATGCACCGCCGCAGCCGCGTGCAACACATCGCCTATGTACTGCGCAGTGCAAACGTGCACCACCACAAGGTTTGTTCTCCCACGCCCTCCTTCCAACATTTTTCTGGCCTCGTGTTGACTAGACGACGAGGCCGCCAGAGCGCCCCACGACGACGACGACAACGACGAACGCGAATACGACGACGACGACGATACCGACTACGACGACGACGACGAGGACACAGACGGGGACGATGACGACGACGTTGACGACGACGCTGACGACGACGTCGACGACGACGACGAGGACGAGGACGAGGACGACGACGAAGTCGACAACGAAGACGACGACGACGATGTCGACGACGGACACCTGCGAAGGTCTCCTGAAGTCTCTGGAGGCCCACAGAAGTTTCCGGAAACCTCTGGAGGCGTCTGAAGGCTCTTCGAGGTCCTCGGCGACGACGACGAGGACGAGGACGACAACCTGGACGAGGACGACAACGACAATGACAGGGACGATACGTGGACGGAGACGAGGACGAAAACGACGATGATGACAATGATGAGGACGAGGACGACGTCCGCTTGTGAATGTCTCCAGAAGTCTCTGGAGGCCTAAGGATGTCTCTGGAGACCTCTGAAGGCGTATGGAGGCCCTTCGAAGCCCTGGACGACGACGAGGACGACCACCAGGACGAGGACAAGAAGTGGACGACGACAGCAGGGACGAGGACGAGGGCGAGGACAACGACGACGACGAGGACGACGACGACGAGGACGACGACGAGGACCACGACGGCCGCCTCGATCTCTGGAGAGGTCTAAGGAGGCTCAAAGAAGGTCTCCAGAGACCTCTGGAGGCGTCTGGAGGCCCTTCGAGGCCCTCGGCGACGACGACGACGACGATGACGATGACGACGATGACGCCGACGACGACGACGAGGACGACGACCACCACGAGGGCGAGGAGGACGAGGACGACGACAGGGACGAGGACTACGATGACGGCGAGGACGAGGACGACGATGACGGCGACCAAAGCGAAAACCAAGCGACGACGACGACGGCAACAACAACGGCGACAACATCGACGACAATGACGACAATGACGACGACGACGGGGACGGGGGCGACTACGAAGACCACGACGGCGACGACCACGACGACGACGACGACGACCATGACGACGACGACGGCAACAACTCAATGGGCGAAGAACGATGTAAAATAAACGTTTTCGCTGTCGGGGGCGCCTGTCCCGGAACAACTGGAAACTTTATACCCTTACGGTGACACGCCAAGGTAAAAGCTCTGCAACTGCCCTGGGGCAGCGCCCCCAGCGACGGAACGTTTATGCTATACCGTCCTGCGCCCGCTGAACGACGGCGACGACATCGACGACCACGACGACGATGACGACGACGACGGGGACGGGGCGACGACGACGACGACGACGACGACGACGACAGAGGCAGTAACAAACGACGACGACGACGACGACAACGGGGACGGAGGCGACGACGACGACGACGACGACGACGACGACGACGACGACCGCGGCCGCCTCTCTAGGTCTACAGAGGTCTCCCGGGATATCAGGAAACCTCCGGAGGCCTCTGGAAGCGTCAGCAGGCCCTGGGAGGCCCTCGGCGAAGACGACGAACGTTAAAGTAGCCTGCAAGCACCACAGCGGCCTGCGAGCATCACAGTGGAAGTGCCAGAGGCGCCCCAGGGGGGGGGAGGGGCGGGAGCGTTGCGCCATGGGTGGGGGGGAGGGGGTGGGGCACAACGCGCGTTATAACCCAGAGGCTTTGAAAACATGCTCCTGCCGCCGTCGGGCCCGCCGCACTCTTGCCTCCACCCACTTCCCCTGGCCTTCCGCAGCCTCCCGCCGAAGAAGAGATGCCAGCGTCTCGATGTCTTGACCGCGAGGCCCATTCTGGATGGCGTCGCAGCACCTCGTGGGTCCTGGAGGAGGGCCCTGGAGCCCCTCGTGGGCCCGAGGAACGAACACGTGTGTCCTCGTGGGCCCTGGGGGAGGGCCCTGGAGGAGGGCCCCCACACCCCCCCGCGGCGGGGGCCTCCAGGGCCGCCGGCGCGGCGCCCCGCGCGCGGTGCTGCCCGGCGGCCCGGGCCGCGCCCCAGCTCGCGGCCGCGCGCCGCGGCCGCGGGGGCCTCCAGCGGCCCTCGGGCGGCCCTGCCTGCGGCTGCTGCCGACGTCGCCGCCGAGGCCGAGGGCGGCGGCCGGCGCCGACAGCGCCAACCATGCCGACGCCGACGGCGCCGCCCACGACGAAGCAGCCGCCGTCGCCGTCGTCGTCGGCGTCGGTGTCCTCGCTGTCGGCGCCGCTGTCGTCGTTGCCGGCGTCATCGGCGTCATCCGGCGGCCGCACGGCCCTGGGTGCGGCCTGCCTGGGCCGTGCGGCCGACGCGGACTTGTGGCGGTGCGCCCCTTCGGCCGCTCGGCCGTGCCGCCGCCGGCGTCGGCTTCGGCGCCGTCGTCGACTTGGGTGTTGTCGTCGTCGCCCCTGCGGGTTGTGACGCCGACGTCGCCGACAACGACGACGACGACGGCGACGCCGGCGGCGACGACGCAGACGCCGAAGCCGCCGCCGATAAATGCTACCGCCAACGCCGTCGTCTCCGGCGGGCGCGGCCGCCACGTGGATTTTGGCGGGGCGAAGCGAAGGGGTGGAGCGCGGGGCGAAAGCAAACCAGGTGCGCTCGCGCCATATCTTACATCCTACCCTCCCAACCATCCCTTCCCATTGCCATGCTTCCCGCGTTTGTATATATACATATATATATACATGTATGTATAAATATATACATACACCTATATACATATATACATATATGTATATATATATATATATAAAGATAGTTGCGCCGACGCGTGTCCGAGCGCGCCTGAATCTCCAAAGAGGACCCCATACTTTGACATGCAACGGGACGAAAAAGAGCGCTGCGCACATTTGAGCAGGAGGAGGAAGAGGTGGAGGAGGAGGAGGAGGAGGAGGAGGATGGGCAGAAGGAGAATGAGAAGGAGGAGGATGAGAAAGTAGGGCGAGGATGAACAGCAGCAGGCTGGAGTGAAGCAGCGGGAGGACCCAGGGGAACCCAGAGGGAAAATGAGGGCGTTGACAACGATGGAAAAGCACTCGGATCCGAGGAAGTGGCCCGCGCTGGCTGGGGCGAGATCGCCATGCTGAGCGACTGGAGCAAAGCGCCGATCCGAAAATGGGGCCCACGCTGCAGCGGGAACACCATATTTGAAACGCCGGCAGCAATCAGATTGCGCCACAGCCAGAAAGGAACAGCTAATGTTGAAATCCTCTGTCTTGAAAGCAATGCTGTCTGAGCCAGGGGAGAGAGGTGTAGCACTCAGAAGGTGCAACTGTTAACGCGAGAGGGGGGAACTGCCCAAAGGGATGGGGGGGCATTGGCACGCACCGAGGGATCCGTGGCCGACAGATCCACAAGAAACCCCCCGAGGGGGAGCCCCCCTCGTTCCCGTGCAGGTCGGGGCACCCAGATCCCGATGGGTGATGAATGGGCGACGGGGGAGCCGATGCCCCCGCCCCATGGGCCAGTCCCTCCCGGCCGCTGTCCGAGGGGGCTCTCGGGTTTCTTCTGGGGCCGCCCCGCCCGGAGTAGATGTCGATGGAGGACGAGGCCGCGTCGGCGATGCGCCGACGGCGTCGGAATGGACAGATGCTATCAGGCCCCATGGATCGGGCCGCATTGCCGATGCACCGGCGATGCGGCGGGGCCCCCCCGAGCGCGTCTACTCGGGCCCCGAGCAGGCGGAATGGATACTTGAAGGGGGCAGATCGGGGACTTCTCAGACGGTTTACTTATCATCCGTAGGCTTACCGCCTGCACCATCTGGGCCCCGCGGGTCCTTCACCGGACTAGGCGAAGCACAGCCCTCTACTAACCCGGCGGCGCCAAGGGTGGCTCAGCGCCCTCGGCATGAACGCCCGCGCGTCGGCGAGCCCAGCGCACATGCAAGAGCCCAGAGGCCAACCCGGCTTCCAGAGGACGGGAAGGCTTCCCAGAAGCCCCCCTGGTTTCTTAGAAGCCCCCCCGTCCGCGTTCGTCTTTTTACGCGACATCTTCTCTGAGTGCTCCGAGATCTTGTCTCGGAGCACCTTCATAATATCCTCGACCTCCTTCTCAGCAGGGGTGCGAGCCGTCTCCGTCTGCTGGGCGATCTGGCCCTGTGGTTTCGTCGCCTTGTCGCCGCAGTCATTCCACACTGCGGGGCGCTTCGGCGCCCAGCCGCACGGAGTCCGAGTCTTCTCGTCGTTGGCGCCCCACCGTGGTAGCTGCGCGGGCGGCTGCCAGCCCCCCCCCCCCGACCGAACCTGCGCCCGCGGCCCCCCCTCCCTTCCTGTCGACCTTGTTCGGGCCCGCGGTCGTCTCACCCGCCCGCTCGCCTTCGCAATCCTTGCTGCTGGGAGTGCGCGGGCTGCGGCCCGCGAGCCGCGCCGTCGGCAGCACCTTAACTTTCGGGGGGCCCTCGATGGATGCGCCGATGCTGTCCGTCTGGTCCTTCAGGTGGCACGCGTCCTCCGGCTTGGCGAGCTCCCCCTGGTCCGCGTTGCTCTCGAGGGCCGCGCGCCAACTCGTGCTGATCATCAGCTTGCACTTGTGGTCTAGCTGCTCCTGCAGGCCAATGCCCGCGTTTTCGCGGCGTTGTTCTCCGCGCACTTCAGCGCGCGCTGAGCGCTTCCGATCTCCCCGCTGGCGCCCCTGTCCTGCCCAGCCAGCCCCATGCCGCACTAGCCCCCGGCGCCGCAGCGAGCCTCAGTTGGCGGGGGCACCGCTTCGCAGCTAGTTGGAGCCCACAACAACTGGGCGGACAAGGGGGGCGAACGCGTCTCGGATTCTCCGGGCGCGCGCTTGTCAGCCCAAGCCCCCGTACCCACTTCGAGAAGAATGCCCCTGTTTACTTCGCGCCTCGTCAGACAATGGCAACGGAGAAAAGGACATCCGCGCTCTATCGTCACGCGGGTCCGCAGTGCGTGCGCGCGCGTGTAAGTAATGTGTATTACAAGAACGTGGTAGTGCAAGGGGTCAAGTGGTCCTCAGGCCGCAGCTGCTGAGACGTTCGTCGGGCGTGGCGGCCCCAGCCCGTGCATTCGCGTGCCTGCAATGGACGTCGCATCTCTCGAAATTCCATCGCTAAGTCATGCAATTGCACGCTTATGCAACTGCTTCTGCTGAGGATGGGGAGCTTGCTCCGCTGCTCGAGGCCCTGTCCGACGCGATCTGCCATTTTTCTTCTCGAGCCAACTCTCTTTGAGGCGCTGCCGGCAGCGCCGCGTCTGGCCGGCGCTGTGGCGACGGGGCGGCTGAGACCGCTGGGCCTCGAGCGCGCGCTGGCGCAATCGCTGGCCCCGGCTAATGCGCCTGGGCTCTCTGCGCAAGGGCCTGGGCCGTCTGTCGTCGTTTCCGCGGGCGCGCGGCCGTTTCGCCCGCTGGCTCTGCTGCAGCCGGCGCCCCGCCACCCTCGCGAGCTCGGTCTCGGGCCCCGCTGACATCGCCCCCCCCGCCCAAACTTCGAGAGGAGGAGCCCGATGGCCATCCCGAGGTGGTCTCGCCTCTGGCCGCCCAGCGTCGTCGGCGCCTCCGCCCCGGGCCCCCCCGCCCCCCCCGCGAGGGCTGGGCAAAACCGAGGGCGCTTGTTTTACGACGAAGGTGCGCTTGGCCTTCCCTCCTGTCTCGCGCTCGCCGCTCGTCGGCCCCCCTTCCTTTCTTCGGCGGGCGCGGAAGAAGGACCTCGTCTCGGAGCCCGCGCTCTGGCCTCGCGCGATCTGGATCAGCTCGAGCCCCTTTCTGCGATCATCGCAAGCGCCCAGCTGGCGTCCAGCCCCAGGCCCCCTACTCCGTCGGCTCGCGGGTCATCTCGAGGAGCGCCAGCGACATGGCTATGCCCGCGCGGGCGCGGGGGGGGCCGAGGGCGCGCCCTCGCCCCAGCGCAATGACCTGCACCCCATTGCCTTTCCCCCTCCCGATCGCGGCCTGCCCTGCCATCGGCCGGGGGGGGGTCTGCCAGAAGTCCGCGCAGAGGTGTTTCGCCTCCCGCGTGTCCTACGCCGTCCTGAGCGCCAGCCGTCGATGGCTGTGGGTCGCGGCCGCTAGGTCGACGGGGTTCTGCGGCCCTCGTGGGCCCCGCCCTCGCCGCGGCGGTCTGTTCCATGCTCCCCTGGGGCCCCAACCGACGCGACCGCCCCATCGTCGCGTCTGCAGCGCTGCTGCCCTCGTCGCCCTTGCCCCAACAGACCCTCCGGAGCCCCGCGGGGCCCGGGGCGTCCGCGCCTCGCTCGGAGACCAGCCGCGACGGGGTCAGCGAACCCACGTTTGCCCTCGTCGCGCGGGAGGTGGACCTCGGCGGGGCCACGGCGGCGGGCGCGGGCGCGGCGCTGAGTGCCGAGCAGGGTTTTTGAGCCTTGCGGCCACAGATTGCGAAATGGTGTGCCTCTTCTGAGGAAGGGCCCGCAAATCGCGGGCCCAACAAGTTAAATTCTCCGCGGCAAACGCCGCGCCCGCCCGCTGCTCAAGCGGCGCGGACGGCTGAAGTTCTCCCCCTTGTAAACGCGCCGAGGCGCCAGAGGAACTGGTTCGTTATCGCGAGCGCGGCAATAAATGGCTCCGCTCGACGCGCCCCCCCCCCCCCCCGCGCACGGTCCGCGAGCGCCGCTGCAGTTTCAAATGTAAGCCTGCAAATCCTTGTCTGCCCCGTCCGCACCTGTGCAGTTCCACTCCTGCCAGAGCGGTCGGTTTGTGGATTACTTCCGCCTCTCCCTCGGCTTCCCCTGGCTGTTGGAGGTCATCGGCCGGGCTGCGCCCTGAGCAGCTTCGCGAACTATCTGCGCCCACCTGAAACCATTGTCTCCAGTCGCCGGCCCCAGTGGCAAACGCCACCAGGGCGGGCGCGCGCTGGAAACGACCCCCCCCCCAGCCCCGAGCCGGGGCGCACGGGTCCTCCATCATCTGCGCGGCCCGTGGCGCAGGGCCGTTGCGCCGTTGCGCGCCCATTCGCTGTCCCAAAGGCGGGGCGCCCCCCTTTCCTCGCCACGCCTAGAGGCCCCTCAGAACTGCGGCCAGGACCCCCCCGTGCTCGGCAGCAGCGCGGGCGCGCGCTGTTGGTGCCATGCGAGACGGCGGATGCGCCGCGCGAGAGCACTTCTGCCAGCCCTGCAGTACGCTAGCACGTGGGATGCGGCGCTGCATCGCGCGCTGCCGCCCCTCCTGGCCCAACTCGCGCCACCCTGGGCAGCCTGTCCGAGAGGCCGCCCCACGGCGGCGTCGAGGGCTCGGGCCGCGCGAGACGGGGGGGCAGCGGGGCCGCCGGGGGCAGCTCCGACGACAAGAAATTGAGACATCTATATGTATACATATATATATATAGCCTCGTGCGTCGCATCCCCAGAATATGCTGCATTGACGGAATTCAACTGTCATGGCGCACCCCCTGCGCCCTACTTCACCCGCCAGATTCCAGTCAGAAGGTAGGTCGGGCCCCAGCGCTCGCGTCTCTTCCCACACCGCCCCCTGCAGTCCTCCACTCGCGCGTAGTCCGCTCGTCGTAGCAAAGTGGTCTTGTCCCACCACGCAGAGGAGGTGGTTGGTCTCCCCTAGATTCAGAGCCCACCACCCCTCGCAATCGCGGCAGCGAGAGAGTCCGTATCTCTATCCGGTGCAGCCGCGACCCAGGCCGTCTTCCCGTTCCGTGGCGGCGTCGTTGTTTTCGTCGCGTCGCCCATGTAAATGTTTAAGGCTAAATCGTGGTCCTCTCCTGGAACAGGGTTCGTCGCGTCGCGTAGTGTCTGTGCTTCGTCCTGCGCTCGCAAGCGCGACTTCCACTTGCTGATGTATCTGTCTGATGCACCATGAAACTGCCCACGGTACTTCGCGAACTTCACCTGGGCACCCTCTGCGGTCACGCCGTGTAACCAGCCGCCCGCGCGCGTCATGCTGATGGTCGGGAGGTGGAGCGCCCCGGTTGCATGCGCCTGGGCTGCCTCGCAATCATGTCCACGCGCCGATGCCGCCAGCAGGGGTCCTTTTCCGCTTGCAAATGAAAATGCATCTGTGCAGCCATAGTTACTGCGCGCCACGCTCGCGCCGCCCTGCGCGGTTCTCCACTGCGCGCTTGCTATGCTAACTATTGTAGCATCTCTGCCGAGGCGCGCGAGGCCCCCTAGTGCCCGCGAGGGGTGCCGGGCTGGAGCCCCCTCTTGTGCGCCCCTTTGAACCGCGCCATGCCCGCGATGCAGAGGCGCGCATGATGCGCCAGCCTGCCATTCCCTCTTTGAGGTCGCGCTTGTCTGCGTCGAAGGCTCGCGAGCGATGCCAATCCAGCGGCGTGGCCTGCCAGGCGCCGCGCTCGAAGGACATATTCCTGAGGCGCCGCGCAGGGGGGGGGGGGGGGGGGGGGGGGGGCGCCGGCCGTCGCGCAGGGGGCGGTGCCCGACCCAGTCTTGACTGCTCGGCGCGCGCGGAAAGGTCTACTCTCGCGCGCGTGCCCCCCCACTCCGTCCAAACCCCGGCCGCGCCGAGCCTCTGCCCCCGCGGCCAGCCCATCCCCTCCAGAATATGACGTCGTTGGTAGTATTTGAATCGGGTCGTGCACTTCTATAGCTCCTCCTCATCCTCCCTCAACTCTGCTGCTCTAAGGCAGGCTGCCGCAAGCTGGTTCCTTAGCGAGCTCGGGTTTTGCAGATGCGACGTCGGGTTCAAGGCCTTCCGAGTCAAGTCCAATGCCCCTCCGACCCCATCAGGAAACGATCGCCTCTTCGTTGCCTTCCTGCAGTGCTGTAACACGCAGCGCTCGCCCTGAGCGGCCAATGCACTCGCCTCGGCGTCGTCCGCCAGAGCTGCGCGCCAAGCGCACTAGTCGCAGTGTCCTGCCGGCGCGTCACCCAGGTTGATCGCTGCAGCTGCCATGCCACCCTGGCGGGGGCGTTTCCCTTGTTCGTGTTTCCACTGCTCTTTGTCCCAGACTGTCCGTGGGGAATAGTAGTGCCGCTTTGGGGGCCTTTTTTACCCGTAATTCTACTAGCGAGCTCGCAACGCGTGCATTTCGCTCTTGTTGTTCTGCTCGAGTGCCCACCACATCTTCTTCGCAACCCTGGCCCTTCTGTTGTTCTCCGCCCCCCCCTGCGCCTTTAGCACAGCCGATGCCGCCGCCGACCCTCCTGCGCCACCCTGACCTCCTCCTCTACTGTCCCCTTCCCTCCTCGCTGCTGCGGCAATTTCCTTCTCTGGCGCTTGAACGCCTCTGCTGCTGGGTCCTCGCTTGTGTTCTTCGGCGAGGTCCTTCTCATCGCCTCGCGCCCTGCCTCTCCCCATGTTTTCCAGGCGGCGTCGGGCGTAGGCGCGGCTGTCGCGTCGCCCAACTTCCGCTCACCCTCCAACTTCGCGGCGAAGCGGCGCAACAGCTCGCCTCGACGGCCTCCCTCCCGCAAGCACCTCACGAGAACCTCGCGGTCGGGCCGGGCGGGTCTGGTCGGGGGGTGGGGGGCGAAGCGTGGTCGAGGCGATCTTAGGGAGAACCACTCCTACTAGGTAGCGATAGTGTATGCTCCTGCTCTTAATGAGTTGGTTGTTTTTCTTACTCTGGCTCTGTAGTGTGGTGAGCCTGCTCCGCTGACCCTGGCGCCGTGGTGGGGAGGGATCTGTGGTCTATTTTGCTCGGGTGGTCTGTCGGGCTGTGGGCGATCCGCGGATCCGCAATGTCCTCGCGGCGCGTGTAGCGCGCCGGGGACAGGCGCGGCACAAACAAGGCTAAGTTTCCCCTCGTCCCATCAAAATCGGATTTGAGAGGTGCGCCCTGGGATGCTGCTTCGGGGAGCGAAAACTGTTCTCAGCGCGCCAGAATCGTCGTCCCACACTTTGGATACCCACCTAATCTTCTTCCCCCCGTACTGTGTCCCCCAGTGGAAGCTCGCGTTGGCTCTCTCACTTGCTTCTGGCCCCCCTGCCCACTTGTGAGTCCCGCTCAGTGAAATAACGTCTGAATGTCGGAGCTCATGAATTAGATCCTCCAGTCTATCCGATGTGTTCGTTGCGTGCGGGTCGTAGTAGAGGATGCGCATGTGGGTCAGGAGGGACAGACGCGTGAGAGGAACGCTACCATCCCCCATCCCCCTCCCTGTCCACCGGGGAAGTTCCGCGCCTGGTGTTCGGCATTGTGCGCGCGTGCGCACTTCGGGCGGGTCGTTCCCTCAACTGCTTGCTTCGAAACGCCGACCAGGAAGAGGAAGAGGAAGAGGAGGCGGATGAGGAGGAAGGGGAGCGCATCTCAGAGGAGGGTTGCCGGTCTCCCCCAAACGGGGAGCCCTGGTCACCACCTCAAGGGCAAGGACCCCCCGACCGTGAAATCGAAGATGTCGAACTCACGCAGCGGCTTAGAAGTGGAGCGCCAACACCTCCACGAGCCAGACGGCGACAAGGGCCAGCAAGACTTTGACCCCCGCGTCGGCAACCGCCAACGCCAGGAGCTCCACGAGCTCCCCACACGGCACCTGCCCCAGCAGGCGCCCGGGCCCGGCAGCGCAGCAGCGGCCGGGCGGGCCGGGCGGGCCAGCGCCCGGCAAAGCGCCGTGCGGCGCGCGTTACGCCACGGCCGAGTCTCGGCGAGGCCCAGCTTGGGTTCGCGCGGCGCCGCGCCATGCCCCTTTGCTGCAACAGGGCGCGCGACGCCTCTCCGTCAGTCCCTTTCCGCGCGTTGGCGCCCCAGCAGCCAGTGCCGTTCGAGCGCCCAGGCCAGCGCTCGGCAGCGACTGGCGCGGTCAGCGCGGTGATCGACCGCAGCGCCCAGCGGCGACGAAGCGGCGGGCGATGCCGCCCAGCAGCGCCGTGGAGGAACCCACGGCGGCGGGCGGCCTGCGTCAGCGGCATCGGCACCGCCGCGGGCACCGCACAGCCATGCCGCCGCGCTGAGGGGGGGGGGGGCGCGGGGCAGGGAAGGCGGCGGCGGGCGGCGGGCCCGGCACGCGGGCCTGAGCACAGACCCGACCAGGAGGAGGAGGAGGAGCAGGAGGAGGAGGAGCAGGAGCAGGAGGAGGAGGAGGAGCAAGAGCAGGAGCAGGAGGAGGAGGAGGAGGAGGAGGGGAGGAGGAGGAGGAGGAGGAGGAGGAGGAGGAGGAGGAGGAGGAGGAGGAGGAGGAGGAGGTGAGGCGTGTTTGCCCGAGAGCCGGGCACAGCGCCCAGGGCGGGCCGCGCCGAGCGGGGCGCGCCGCGCAGGCGCCGCCCGCGATCCCTCACGGGCACCGCGGACAGCAAGGTGCCACAAGGACCGCAACATCATCAACGTGAACAACACGGGGAAGGTCCCCCGATCGCCCGCGTGGCATAGGCGAGCCAGACGCCACAGGGCTGCAGCCAGAGTACTGTTGCGGATTTCAAAGGCGAGAGGATATCTGGATAAACATCACAGCAGAATGGCAAGGTCTCTATCTCGGAATCGAGGACGTGACCGTTACGAGCGGCGTGATCGTGAGCGAGCTGGTCAGGAGCAAAGAGATGGAAAGCATCGTCATGCGAACAGATGGCAGTGTCGACAGTGTGGATTGACAAACCCGAACAGCTCGAAGTCATGCTCATGCCAGGACAAGCCCCCAAGGGCAAGAACGCCAAAAGAGAAAGCTCCACCGAAGAGATTGCCGCACATCCAGAAGCTCATAGACGACATCCCGATCGCCATGCCGGAGGAGGCGAGGGAAATGGAGTGCTGGGAAGAGCCGCCGACTGACAACCAGGCGGCGAGGGCATTTCGGTACAAGATATATGCCAAGCAGACACAGGTCGCAGCAGCTGTATATGCAGCAGAGAAAGCAGGCATCGAGATGGACAACGAGAAGGAGATCATTGCGGCCCTGAAGTACACCTTGGACATAATGAAGCCAGCAGCAGCACGAGTGGAAGGTCATCGCAAAAATGTGGATCGATGGAAGGATAAGATCAAAGAGCTGAAAAAAGAACAGGTCATGCTCAACTATAAGAAAGAAGATGCAGAACAACAACTGGAACGAGCATGTGCGGCACTGAAAGAAGCTATCAGAGATCGAGACGGCGAAGAAGAAGAAGCAGACAATGAGGAAGAAAATAATTCAGAAGCAGAGTATTTGGAAGCGTTAATGGATCTGGAACCCAGACTTGCAGTACCGCCGCCATCGACACCGAAGGAATTGAGGAAGAGAACTCCACCAGAATCAAAGATATCCAGCAGCCACGTTCCTCAAGCACCTCAGCCGCAGCATGCAGAAATGATAGCGAGCCATCAGATCCAAAAACTTATGGAAATGATTCAGCAGCAGCAGCTTCAGAATGGCAACTTACAGGCGACGATCCAGCAGTTGCAGATGGACAACGTTAACCAGAAGACCATGTACGACCAGCAGATGGCCATGCAGCAGTACTACATGCAGCAGCTAATGGACAAGCACCCAGAAGAATGGTCACCAGCTACTTTTCCCGATGAAGAAGCGGAGACAGCTCATGCTTGTGCGGCAATGAACGGCAGATTGCATGAAGCTGACACCACCAACACAAACGAGATCAAGGATCGCAAGCAGAAGGTGATGGAGGACATGGCTGATCGTGTGAAGGCAGAGGAAGCAAAACGGCAGAAAAAGCAGAATATGAGCCAAGAGATACCGGTGGTGCAGTCAGTCAAATTATCGGAAAGACCAGCACAAGGTGTACCTAATCCGACTATCACGGGCGAGATCGAGATGGAGTCGAAACCAGAAAAAGAAGACGAAGTACCTGTCGCATCTCAAGATCGATACCCAGAACTTCCGAGCCAGGATGTCATATCAGCTTTGACCGCTAGCCAACTAAGAGCCGCGCTGCAAGCAGTCGGATCGGATACGGAATCGATACCAGCAGAACAGCCTTCTCCAGAATTTGTATGTTCACCAACAGAGGTGGCAAGCGAAGTGGGAAAAAACGATCAACAGCAAGTGCCAGTACGTACAGATGGAACAGCTACGCCTGAGCAGCGTACCCCGAATGGCATCCCACGGGCGTTGTCACCGAAATCACCGATTACTACGACGGAGCCTTTAACTCAGGATGATGTACGAGATGGAGAAAAAGATAAGCATCGCCACTTGAGATCGCCTACACCAGCGAGGAGAGAGAGATCGCGCGAAGGTTTTCGCCAAAAAGGAGGCCCAGAAAGGTACAACATCGCCAGTGGAGATACGCCCCCTCGCGAACCTGAACGAGCACAATCACTTCCCCGATTTGGCACCGCTTTTCGTGAAGGAGAGAGCAGTTCATCAGGGAAGCCACCGCCAGCACGCATCGCCAGGAGGTCCATGCTCGCCTTCGGCAGGTTCGCGCGCACGGGATCAATCGGAGCGCCGGCCAGCACAGGCTGGGGCGAGCGTACCATTGACGGGATCGCGGGCAGCCGCTAAGAGCGGCAAGCAGGTTCACTTTGGACCTGCTGAGTGCATGGAATTCAAAGTTGGAAGCAGACGGAAGACACTGCGTGAAGCATCACCCGCAGCTGATCGGACGACTTCAACGCCTTCCAGTATAGATAGACCACCAGAGGTACTTGAATCTGAGTATCACATCACCAAGGGTGCGCAGTACACGTCTGAGATTGGGTTGCCAGGCAGTTGTACCAGATCCGTCGGATCAGCCGATGTTACAGATCACGCACCTCATTTGGACCCTTACCTAGATGCTCGTGTATCCCTGCCGCTATCCTGGAACCCCCCTACATGGCTCGGCCAGGAGGACAAGCAGCAGAAGGCCAAGATGAACCCATCCCTTAGCCGAGAAGAACGAGCAGCACTGGAGTACGAACATACCGTAGGGCAAACCACGAGGATGTTCAATAGTTTGAAACCTGGCATTGGAAAGATTACAGAAGTAGTTAGGCAGTTTCGAGAACAAGTCTCACAAGCATCACGAGCAGCAGCAGA